GTTTTGGAAACATTTTATATCACTCACTAGGACAACCGTTATCCACGCCTATAATTGTCGATTCAAAGCAGTTTCAAAATCCAAGTATCTCATTTCACAAATGTCATTTAAGCGTGGGTATGGCAAAATTACATTTGCAACATTTTCCTTTTACAAGTTACGTTATCGAAACAAGGTCAACGGAACCCATAAAAAGGGCAAAGGAATGGTTATTTTCATTCTTCGGATTCTCGATTAAGCCTTTCCGTCACATGCATCGATGAGCGCACGTGTATATAAAATGAACAATAAGTAATTTGCCTTAAATATGATTGAATGAACAATTTCGTTGTAACCATCATTTTTAATTTATGATTGCTCAATACTCAGAAAGTCTCAAAGCAATTTTATTCAATTAGGGCGGGCATTAGCTACAATTTTATTGGTGAGCATCTACATAGAACTGACACAAAATAGAAATTTAATAAAATCAGATTGAAACAAGACCGAGTCGAGATATCCGAAACTTCCTCACTGAGAGTGGAGAAATGTACATATTTCAGTAAAAAATTAAAAAATTGAACATAACAGTTCAAACAAGTTTTGTTAGTCATCGATTAGGTTTGATGGGTTTCATCCTGAAACATATACCTACCCAATATCGTGTATATATGTATATTTACAGGGAGAAACTACATTAAAGAATGTCAGTCCTCTTTGGCCTTAAGTTATCAGTATTCGAAGGAATGAGATTATGATATCTCTCCATTAACAAAAACGTCCTCGGATGAAGCGTCTACTGAGTGTGATTTCTGTACAGTGCATACGTATCTCATCAGTATACTTTGGATTAATTTTGACATTGTATCGACTCTTTGTTAACGAGTCTACCAGTTCTACAATGGGGATAATTTTCACCACTTCACAGTTAGATAATTTGTAGGGATCAGCTCATTTTTGTGATACTGAATCCATGTTTTTCAATGCATTAGTGACCACTCCTCTATTTTGATCGTAATGTTTATCTTATCCAGCCCATTCGTACACACACTTGCAAGTAGACAAAAAATCGGAACGAGCGGAAACTCTGTTACCTTTGAAGTAAAATAATCCTATTTGAACACGACAAATTCAGGTAGAAACTCGTAATCAGAACGCAATTCTGCAAAAAAGAACGCCATCCTGGGACGTAGCAGTTTATCTATTAAGAATACAAAAGATGCGTTAACATCCTGTTTCTCACAGCTGGCTACTAAGTTTCCGGCAGGTTCAGACACATCGAGAAAACAACGGAGTAACGCTATCAAATTTACTGACTCATTATTGTATTATGACCCAGCAGCGAATACGGAAGTAGGAGGTTGGGGGGGCGTCGTCGATACCCACAATTGCGGCACTTTTCTGGAACTCATGGTTTTTTGGATTTATTTCACGTTGAAACGTAGTGCTGTTTAGGCAAAAGGGGTTAAGGCACACTCTTCCCATAAGTAGTTTGCGTCGATACTTTTTATCTGTATCTTATATAGAGTGGAAGTGAAATTAACTTATTTATATCCTATGAAATACAAATCCAAATCGATTTTTCTGACTCAACATTTTGCACATAATTTTCCTGAATAAAATATCCTTCTGACATTTAGGCTCTCTTTCCCCTTTTTTGAATGTTTTTGTTTTAACTAACTTAACCGAATAGTTAAGCAAAGCTTATTGTTAAATCATCTGAAAATGGAATTTTTAACAGGTGATCATCAACGCACGTAGTCAACAACAGAAGCCAACCGCACATTTGTGGTTCCAGTTAGAAGACCTAGGATTTTTTGGAGTGTTGTGTCCACGAATTGTTTCATTTTTTATTTGTATCATGCACACTCAATAAAATATCTATTTGTATATAAAAAACTAATAATAATCTCTGTTTCTTTCCACAAATTCGAATTTCGAAATCGTCATCATGACCGCCCGTTGAAATTGAGTACATTTCAAGAATGTAACGCCGAGATTGCAGCACTCACACACAGCTTAACGGTTTGAGAAACGATTTCCCAACTCAAAAACAGAGATCGAACGAACGAGGCATTGAGAAACAAGCAATTACTCATGTTCGTTAATGATGAAATCGTTCGGATCCTTGACGAAAATAACGTGAGCGATCGTTAGGATTGGCTCGTCGCCATATTTTAATACTGTCAAAATTTCATCCGAGGTCAAGTTTAAAGGTCGATCGCGGCATTTAGTTAATTGGAAGGAGACTCGATGGTGCTCTATTTCGCAATTGCTGGTTTTAATTAAAGTGTCTTCCTTATCGCGTTATGCCGAGAGAATCCCGTTACTTGAGGTGAAAATGTACGGCAAATAGATATCTAGCAGTAAAATCTAAAATGCTCCTAAATGAGATCATTCGTGTTACAAAAATGTATCGAACATTATGAAACAACAGAGGAAACAACAGAAATAGAAGAAATACATACAATCATTGAATTGCCACCAATCATTATCTTGTGGCTACATGCTCATTCGAAGTCCCGAACAAGACCGCAACCATATGACTGGTAACAACGCAATTCCTGAAAATCATCTCCAAGGTATGTCGTCAACCGGCAATCCAATATCGACAACAATAGCAAATTTCCCCACAAATTACAATCGAGTATTTCCAAATCCTCGATACAACCGTCTTGTGTTGCACAGTTTCAACAAATCCGATCGGCAAAGTTGAATAATGTTCAACCGATTCTTAAATCATTCTTTTCTTCTTTTGTACGATTTATTTTCAAAACAGGACAGGAAGTGTTTAGTAATTTGAAAGATTAAAATCTAGTCGGCAGCCTGTCCTCCACGTGTGGTAACGAAGTTGAGTAACAAAGTTCGAAATAGGATTGCTTCACGCACTGTTCGGAATATCTTTGAATCAATTAATGAGAAAATTAGTCAGGTTCATATAGGCAAATATTTCAATATTGTTATTTCGAAAGCACATTTTTTTTTTGTAATCTACGGGCACAAAATTTTTCCAATTGAGTTGTTCATCATTCTTCTCTCTATTAATCTCTTCATCATTTACTACTGCTACGTTTTTACACACTATATCCACTATATAGGTCTTATATATTTTAGTTTAATTTGTATTTTGTTTAATAACTGATATATTTGTATAATCTTCATGTATATTAAGACAATTTAGCAGTTATTTGCATAGCTGCGAAAATTGAACTTCGCCTTTTACTATTACTTTTTATATGTAGTTAGAACTTGATATTGTTGTTGGTTTGTGTAGTTGTAGTAATAAAGACGTTTATTATTATTATTATTTTCAACCGTAGTTTGCGCTGGTCAGGCCTTATCCCCCGAAGCTCCGATACATTCGGGAGGGCGCGCCAGCATTATTAACCAATGATCACTCCCCACACCGTGGGGTAAGTGATCATTGGGTCCGAGAATCATGTGCCCTGAGCAAGCGCAGTGAGCCAATAATGACAACCTTCTGAATCCGAGTGGCTAAGATTTCTGCCTTAGTGAAGCAAGCCGGTATGATTCGAAAGTAGAAAGGGCATCATTCCACCAAGGACTCCAATAATCAGAACAACCATCTTGACAGAGTGATCTGGATAGAGTCTGCGGAGTTCGAAGACAAAATCTCGATTTTTGATCCATTTTTCCTCCCCTTTTCTGACGATATTTGTCTCGCCAGGAGCTGAAAACTCCACGACAAATATCGTCTTGCTCTGATAGTCGAGAAGGACTACATCAGGCTTATTAGCTTGTATGAGCCTGAGGGTGGGGAACGAATAGTTCCAATAAATTCGGTACTTCTCGTTCTCCACAACGGATTCAATATCCTTCGGAGCGTAGGCAACACCGTTGTCTCGTCAATAACGTACGAGTATCGTAGATGGTAATATAGCACTCTCAGGGCCGCGTTATACCGATGAATTTAGGCCGAGACCGCATATGCTGGACATGCTGAAAGCAAATGCATTAGGATCTCGGGCGCCTCGCGGCAGGCCCTGCACCTTGTGTCAGGAACCTCGATACCCATCACGCGACTGCGGTAGACTAAGATGTTGAAGACACCATCCTGGCATGCCATGATGAACCCCTCAGTTTCCGACTTCAGCCCACTCGGCCTAAGAAAAGCGAACGTCAGGCGCTTTGATAAGCCAAGGTCTCCAATGTTATTAAAGAAGACCCCATGTATTGGCTTATCCTTGTGTTTCCGCAGAAGTAAGGTGATCTCTGCGGCTTTTAGCTGAGCTTTTGCTGAACGGGTTCCAACTCGGTGACAGAGTTGTGGTCACCTCGTTCAGTGTCGAAAACTATACCCTAAAAAGAAATGTTCCAATTCCTGCTTTCTCATGGTCACGGGCCATGCAGACAAGGGGATCCGAACTTCTGACGACTTTACAGGCTGTATTTAGTTCCATTCTGTCATGTGGACACTCCAAACTCAAAAGTTCACGGCCTCCCTGTTGTCGGGGGAAGTACAACCGTGAAACGGACACATTATGTTTTTGAAAAAATAATTGGTTGGATACAAAATATGTGCCTTAATTTTTCAAAAAGATTCTGATAAGGTGGTGTCTATTTTTTAATCAATGACAAAAAGAATAGAATGAAAACAAAGGTAAATTATTCAGGTATTTTACTTATCAAATTGAAATATGCAGCATTAAGGCCGCCATCGACATCTCTTCTAGTGTTAACGCTATCGCATTTGAGGATATGTATCATTTCGCTCAAAAATCTTTTGGATAAATATGGTTGAACATCTAGAATAGTGGAATGATCAAAATAAAAAATGTGTCCATATTCTTTTTCATTTTATTAGACATTTTTCTCAAACGATTTTTCAAATTGAAGTAGGGTTGATTCTGCTGCGTTACGAAGCTGCCAGAACTGCGAATAACCATGATGGTGTTTACGTGGCACGGGGAATTATTAAGATAACATACCCAAAACATAAGGCTATAGTGACCATTGCAGTCAATGCCGCTGACACCGAAAAAAAAAAATCTCAAACTTACCTCTCGTGATCGGAGAAAACAAATTTCCTTAATTTCAGGTCCCGGAGAACGATGCCATTTTCGTGGCACACTTGGACCGTTTCGGCGATTTGTTTGAACAGCTTTTTCGCCTCGGATTCGCGCAGTCTTTTTCTTGTTCTAACGTAGGAATGCAAATCACCGTGAGGCTTAGGAAAAACCAGGTACATGTGAGAATTTTTCGATATAACTTCGTGGATGGAAGATACGCGCGGATGAAAATCCAATTTGTAATGAGCAGACACCAGAGAATGGCTGTCACGGGGGACGACCTAAAACAAAGGAAACAGGTAGGTATAGTGAAAATATTTTTCTCATAATTTGATATATTTTATATGGCCTTCGACATTTAATACGAATGTAGAAAAAGTACGAGTTATGTTAGAATGTTAGGAATTGAAAATACTAATTAGTTTTTCCGTGATACCAAGAAATTTCAAAATAATTCTCAGAAGGAAGTCTAAAGCCTGTTGAATTTACTTGTTTACCATGAAAAGCACATTGTGTTTTGATGAACAACACTATTTTGTCTTTCGTCATCTACTGGGAACATCTCCAATATTCACATATAGTTTCACCGAATCAATAGTTGATTATGAGACATTTTTGCATACATAGGAATTTTGAATACTTTTTGAAAATAGCTATACGTTGCCACCGTAAACATCGTTTCTGTTACGAAAAGTCAATTCAACCTTTTTCCATAATAAACAGTTATCATTGGTACTACATACATTTGCATAGCATGTCTGACTAATAATTTATGTACAAAAGAAAAAATGCTTTGAAGTACAGTTCATACCTGTTGAAACAAGAGAGGTATTTATTCTTTCGAAATCCTATATAGGTTTGGCTTCAGATGTTGCCATATAAGGTTTATTAATATCTAACGTAATAATGCTGGTGCAAATGTATTATTAGATCATACTCACGTTAAAAATATGATATTCATTAGTTCGAATCAGAATGTAGGCGGAAAGAAATGTAAAGACTCATTGAAACAGCTACAATTTTCCCTAGTTATAGCTGGTACGTTTTGAATATAATTTAATGAGAAAATATGTGGTCTGTATCACCATTCTTCAATATTAATATGGAATAATAAAACAATATTGAAGAAATTGTTTATAGCTACAATGTGAAGAAAGAACATATGATAAAATTTAAATAATATCAGATCGATAGATAACGTTTTTTTATCACAACCATTCCTTTCACTGAAAAATAATTGGTGTAATTTCAATGACACGCTACATTTTCCAGAGACAACCACTTTTTTGTCATTGAATAGAAGTCACAGTTTGAAATTCGATAATCTCTACTGAAGTTGATACGCATTCATCATTGGGAGACTTTCAGTGCATTTTTCTTGATTCGGCTGGAAAATCTATTAATCGAAAATCGTCAATTTTTTGTGACTTGGAAGGTGTTTATTAAATTGAATCTTAATCATCAAGGGTTTTTGTCATTCATGTTGAAGTAATTTTTGAAGACGTTGAGGAACCAAAAGTCTTGTCTATACGAATGATTGAGTTTATACCTGACCCGAACAGGTTCAATCCAGTTCAGTAACTGCATGGGCATAGATATATCTATTTTTTATAGTAAATTAAATTGGATCAACGGTATCAGGAAAACGTAGTAAATATCTTCAAAAATTCTTCCAAATATATGAGCAAGTCACAGCTCGCGAAATGTTCAGTTGTGACATCTATGAATTGATATGGAACCTTGAAAGAATATCGAGATAGCTCAAAACTTTTCTTCGCTGTTATACATTTATCACAATTATGGATACGAAGGGGAAAAAGAGTTTGCATCATTATTTGACTTTTCATAAGTAGCTCTCTTTTTATACCTAACCACAAACAATTAATAAATTATTTAAACCAATGAAATATTCATCCGCTAAAAAAGATTTCGTCTCACGGGACTGTCAATATCAAGTTCCTTTTGGGGATTTCACCTTGTAATAACTTGATAGTAATTACATCACGAAAACATTGAGTGAGTAAAAATTAAACATCAATTTGTCATGTTTAATTCCATGTCGAGGATAAAAGATAAATATAAATCTGTAATGTATTCTCGACGCGTAAAGGTTTGATCAATTGACACATAAAAGTCACTCATTCACAGCAAATTTTGCTAATAATTACATTTTCAAAGGACAGTGATGGAAGTATGAAAGAAGTAGCAAATTCACATTTATAAGGGCAAAAAACAATATTTCAATCAAAAAGATCAGATTCTCAGCAAGACAATGTTATTTTTCTTACAAAGATTCCTTATATGTAGAATCGAATACATATTATGCCCTGTGAATTCGTGAAATAGGTAAATGATTATATTCCAGGAGACATGTGAATTATAATATGATCGTGTGCTGGTAATAGTAAGGCTATCACGAACTTTCTGATATTTCTTTCACTCGTTTACTAGAAAAGTAAACAAGGCCAATATTGCATACACACCAATTATTTTGTATTAAGATGACGAAATGCAATAGTTCAACGGATTAGTTATTAAAATTACAATAATTTTATCCTCCCATTTACCTTTTCATAATTTCACCTTTCGATGATGTAGGTAGTGAATAGTTAACTACATTACTTTCATATTCCAAAATGAAATATTGCGTAATAGTAGGTATATCCAAATAGAGTACAAAAATAGACAAATTTAACTGAATTCAAAATCCATTCAATACATTAAAAAACATCGAATCGAATATCATGATTATCCTTGAGTTGATCCTAACCGTCATGGCGTCAAAATTAATATAATCCACACCATAATGCGAAATGCGATCTAGTGTCCTTCTTTATTATATTTGCGATTGGTCCAACCGAATGCCAAATTCAAGGTCCCCTCAATATTTCACGACCACAAAAGGTGAATGTCAATATTTAACCAATAAGACGACGGAGCCAGTGTTTGTGGAATATATATTTGATTATTTAGAATGTAATTTAACACTACATAATATTGCATCATAGTGCACGTTAATCGACAAGTATATACGAAGATAATATATGCGAATAAAAATGTTTCGCAATGCACTGAAATGTTATGTGAAATATATTTAAAAAAAAAGTAAGACTTCGATGGCGTACACTTCCAATATGTATCATTTTGAGTAGCAAAATCCACCGTCGTTTTATTAACACATCAATAATTTGACTTGAAAAAAATATTTGCGAAGTTAATTCAGAACTACTAAGTACTTCTTTACAGGTTGCTGGAAACTTTTCGAATATTAATTTTCATGCAGAATACGTCCAGTCTTATGAAAAAAGTATTCCTCTGAAAGAAGTACTAATTCTTAAAACTTATCTGGACCATCAGTTGTTAGTCTGAAACGAAAGGTCGAGTTAAAACATTTTTGAGGAAATTTTTCTAGGAAACATTCTGAAATGGATTGAAAATTATCTATCCTACAGAGTACAATTTGTTAAATATAGTAACTCAATATCTTCTCAACACAGTTTCACCGGGTGTACCACAGGGTTCTCATTCAGGGCCATTGCTTGTCAACCTATTTGTAAATGACTTGAAAGATGTTATTTTTTATAGTGAATTTCTTTAATTTGCTGATGACCTGAATATGTTCAAAGTTATCCATGACTCAACTGATACTAAATTATTACAGTACGATTTATCTAACTTTGTTCGCTGGTGTGATATAAATCTACTGCAATTAAATACAGACAAATGTCAAAAATTTACTTTTTTCTGAAACAAAAATCCCATTAACCGGCCATATAAAATCAATCAATTAGAACTGAAAACAACAAACACAATCAGAGATTTAGGAATCACTCTCGACCCAAAAATTTCATTTAAACCCCATATTGCAAATATTACTTCTAAAGCATTAAAAATGTTAGGTTTCATTCTCAGATCTGCAAATGAATTATCTCTCAATTCAATAAAAATCATATATTGTTCAATTGTTAGATCAATAATCGAATACAATTCCACAATTTGGTGCCCTTCATATCATGTGGATATTGATATGCTTCAAAGTGTTCAAAATACGTTTTTAAAGTACTCTACATATAAGTTAACTGGGACTTCATATTGGTGAATATGACTATAAAATTATATTGGACATTCTTAACTTGAATACTCTGGCTCATAGAAGATTAGAATCAGATCTTACACTAATTCATAAAATAATCAATGGTAGCATCAATTCCCCGGAACTTGTCGAACTCATAACTTTAAATGTGAATCTAGGCAACTTGAAGTAAAAAGTAGTTACTATACCTACTGACATTAGTGAAACCAAAATTGTGAGTCTGGAAGTGGGTGCGTTTATTTTTTTTGTGTTCAACAATACTTGCATAAAATTCATAATAGGTTGATAGTTAGAAAGATTACTATCAAACTATGTTTCATGAAACACAATTCAATCTGTAACATAACAACCGCAAATCTCAATTTTACATTGAATAACATTGATATATTAGGTATTACCAAGGGTATTAGGTCCCTATTTTTGCCCCTGTTGAGAAATGTTTACTCTGATTGCATTATAGGTAGTAATACTGAAGTTATGATGACATAGTTATGGAAAACGTACCACACGAGGGGTGCTTCACTTTAAAAATCTAGTGTAAGTAGGTGTATCTCGACTAGACAAATCCTTGCTAAATTCCAGAAATCCTAGCGTTATTCTTAAATTTTTGAATAAAATCCAATTGATATCTAATTGAAATTCCCTCATTTGAAAATTTGGTTCCATGGAAATGAAACACCCCTTGTAAATCATGAAGAATTTTTAAAGCACTTTGACTGATTTTCTGAATACGCCCTGTATGGATATTTTACACGAATAAGAACATTGTTTTGAAGTTTTACCACAATAATGACGAAAAAGGGGCACGGATTGAATAATAAGGAATCCAATAATACTCTGACGCAGATTTACAAGAAGTTACAATTACCTATCTCATTTTACTTATCGAAGAGAGGAAATGACATGACATTCGAGACTTCCAACTAAATGCGTCGTTCGTACATGATTTGAATGTCGTCACATATATAAAAATAATTGACCATGCGTAGGTATTTTCCGAGGTGGCTCCTACATGTGCATAACAGAAACAATATACCTACCGACTTATGTATGTTGAACTGGAATAAAGTTTCAACCAATATTTTACCAATTGAAAAATATCTTGTGACAATTAATGACGTTATAATTACAAGTGAATGAATACAAGATTATGGCCATGAAGGAAACGTGGAATTTTAAACATTTGAACTCAATGTAAACCGAGAAGTAAAATATTCAATTCTACATGCTGCTGGAGAATTGATAAGTAGGTACTTATTCAATGTAATCTGTAAGCTATGCACTTTATGGAAAATGAAAAAATAATGTGGAAAACAGTGGCCAGGGGGGGGGAGCATTTCAAGCTTCAGTCAGTGTCAGACCAGACTAAGGTGGAAAAGATTCATTATATTACACTAAGAATAAATCAAAGTAAGTAGTATATTTTGTTAAAATAACCTATATTCGATAAAACATATTCAATATTTGGGAAGTTGACTATATTTGTGACTAGTAAATAATAGGGTTCAGATATAAAAGAATGAAGTCTCCCTTTCTTACTCATTATTTGTCGTCTTCGAATGACATATTCATTATAAAAGTCCATGGGAAAATGTCTTTACAAGTATAAGTACACTGTAATTTCAATGGTTTTTCATGAAAGGGGTGTTCAATGATAAATAGGTAAACAACCCTTCAAGCACCCACCCCAATTTATCCCCCACACCTTCAGAATGTCTTGAATGACCCAGTGAGAATATCCTGCTGCGAATGGGGTTGTTCCCTACCGAATATTTGCAATTAATTATAGGAATTGTTGGTTTAGAAAAGCGAAGAAAATCTATCATCATTATAGATAACCGCATTTTTTCAATGTTTAATGTAATGTTAATTTCAATAAGATATTCTAGGCTTGGAGAAATGAATCATTACACATGCGTCATCAATAGCTGACGCGATAAAATACATACTTTCATATGGCATCCTTTTTTTCTATACGAGAGAAACAAAGACCATTTAAGTATATTTCTCGATTTAATCAGAGGGAGTTTTTGTTGGATGTATAACTATCGCTTGACAGTTTAAAAGTTATTAATGTGAAATTTCTACGGTTCAAAGTCTTTTATATTACACAAATAGAGGCATTTCACATTTCATCATGGGCAAATTTTATATCATAATCATACATTTCAATCTCAACGATAAATTTTATGAAAGTTGCCTAAAATCGTAACATAGTATAATTTTTAGCGAATTTAGAAAATAAAACAATTCTTCACTGAAAGGTTTGTTCGGAGCAGTAACCATGTGGTTTTTCATTTTGAATGCACAAACTGATGACTCATTTGTAAAGAATCTTTGACCGTCTGTACTGCAACCATTCAAGGGAATGATTTCAAAAGAAGTAAACTACATGGATTCTAGTAACCAATAGTAGAAAAGCATTCTTAAAACAATGCCACTAATCAATTTCGTTCAATAAAATTTAATTCCATTCAGCATTGACCTTCCGTTTTAGTTCCAACCAGTTACCGCACAAAGTCATCTACGTCCTTAGTTCTCAGGGTCACCCTACAAGTTTTACGAAGAGCGAAATTAATTTACATCGCCATTCCACTATCAAACTACTACGAAACCCGTTCTCGGTCCACAATGCTGAGACTGACCAAACAATATCGAGCTTGAAGATTCGCGCTCCGCTTCTATGGGAATACTTGGTGAATCGAGGGGGCTCCACTATCATCCGGTTTTATCTTAACCTCTCCGTGACCTCTTTCAACTTTTCTTCTATCCAATATTGGCTGATTAATTCTCATAATGTGGGAAATCTGGGAAAAAACTTGCGAAAATATATGCACCCTATTTATTCGTTCGATGTTAGAAAAAGGGTTGAGATTTTTATATAGAAAGCATTTGCATTTGTTATCGATTATGTATACAAATGGGGGAATTTATATTATTACGATTCCTATTAGAATTTGAAAGGGTTCAGGTAAACCCCTTTTCAAGTTTGATTGAATTTCTACGGCCAGCTGGTAGCTGATTAAACTCCAGTAATATTCATTACTACACCAAAGGTTCCAAACAGTGCATCATAAGTTCTTTTTGATTTTGTCGACCTTTTTGAGTATTTTTACCTTCCACAATCTGAAAAATATTGTGGAAGGTAAAAATAGATACCCAAAAAAGGTCGATAAAAACTATTTGGTGTTGGGAAAGAACTCCAGTAATATTCATTACTACACCAAAGGTTCCAAACAGTGCATCATGAGTTCTTTTTGATTTTGTCGACCTTTTTGGGTATTTTTACCTTCCACAATCTGAAAAATATTGTGGAAGGTAAAAATAGATACCCAAAAAAGGTCGATAAAAACTGATTTTTCTCCACAAAAAATGACTTTCGTTAAATATTCCTTTAGTTGAATTTATGTTTGAAAATATTTATTCACAAAATTTTCTGAATTATGGTTTGTCAAATATTTGATGTTCAACAAATTTCACAATGTCACACTGTTACTTATTCATTTGACGTTAGTCAACCTTATCATTTTCTTTATCTGAATATTTTTTAAACTCTACTCTCCAATCTCTTTGTATTTTTTTTATCTAATCATGGACATCTCTGTATTGCAAAACTCGAAATACTAATAGCAAAAGGTTAGAAGTGGAAATCACTCGATTCACCCTTGAGTTTCTTTACTCTACTGAACCCTCTATAAGTTCCCTAGAATCCAACTGGTGGGAACATTTTTTCAAATAGTATCCCGCAGGTTCCTATATTTTTTTGAATTACACATTATTAATCATTTCTATGGTATGCAAACGAATAATCGACATGCTATGAGGATACGACACTCTTGGAGAGGGTACAACAATTTCTTAACAAAAATAACTCGGAATTATTGGCAAACCTGAAGCTAAGAAAAATTTACTCAAAAAAGTACCAGTGTGCATTTAGAAAGACCATTTTATACCCGTCTCACAAAGTTGTTTAACAGTGAAACTGGGATTAAACATTTCATTTCAAATTCTGAGGAAAAACAAAACGATCACATGATGACATCATTGTACTACTCCCGGTGCATTTTGTATGAATAAACACAAAAAAATAAAAAGGTCAAACTCTTCAAAAAATTGCCAACAAAACACTGGCCACTGTACATACATCCCTTTGATGGATGATGCAGCAGATGTAAGTCAGGAAAGTGATGAAAATACATTTTATGATACCCATATTGAAACAACTTATTCCTTAATAACTTTTGAACTCACCTTACAAACCAGTTCCTCTCGAGTATTGATATCCACACATCTATAGAGAGAGCTTCCCTCCACCTGTTCCAACAATTCATACTTGTCTGCAATGACAACAGTACTCCCCAAATGTTTATCAGTTTGATTGGGACTCAGAGGCGAAGTATCCGCATCAGAAGTCACCCTCGAAACTCTACACTCCACGTCGCGCAATCGGGATATTCGCAACTTTTTCACGGTATGTCCGCTAGAATTCACTATCGCGGACTTTTCGACCACCATCCGAGTCCCTGGGAGAATTTCTTGTAGTTGAATACTCTGCATGTTCATTTTTCTTGCACGAATTTTATCACAATGTTTGATTTTAGGAAAGGCAATGTTTTTTAGATAGGTTGGTAAGTGGCCCCGCGTTGTGTTGATAAGGCTCTGAAAAGACAAAAAGGTGATATGGTTAGTGATGAAGAAGGCAAATCTCACTTTCTTGAATACGAAAATGAATTCAAAGTTGAACAACAAATGGTTGTTTTCAAATATTACAGTCACGAAACTAGACCAATCTTCACTTTCTGATACAAAAATGATATAATCAATCATTAAAGTTTTCAATCGACCCTCATATTCGTCCTGTTCACAGGGGCCTTTGTTAACAGGTATCCTCAAAAAGTTAAAGTGTGAATTTCATTTAGAAACTACTCAGGTAGTTTTGAGGAGATTCCCCAGAAGTATTTTATATGTAAATGATTCTCAGGTATCAATTATCCTCACCACGTGCGTATATCCTTTTTACAAAAAATATTTAAATAGGTAGGAAGCACGTTTATATCGCGGAATGCAGTGAAATAATACCTAATTGTTAGGTTAAAGACATGAATTATCTTAATACGGGAGACACACGACTGTCATCAAATCATAATCCAGCACTGTAAAGTTTGAGAATACATTCTTTAGAATTAGAATAGCCAGCTCTTCTACATCTACGACAAAGCTGTCACAACTGAACTCGTAAAACTTAATTATTGATCAATCGTATCATATTCATTCTGTAATGAAATCAAGCGTTTAAGCATGTATCAAGAAACATTTGGTTTGCATCATAATTTTTAAGGTTATGTCACAACTGTAAAGACGATTTATAAAAAGTATATAGTAAATTAACAGAAAAATCCTCAACTACAAGAATGTACATACAATACATAACTTTGATACATGAAAATATTGCAAAACATTGAAGCTCAAATGTTATTGAAAGGTCAAACACATTAATTAAACGACAAAGTCATTGACTAACTGGTTGGTTTGAAATTCTGCACTGAAATGAAATAAATCAATAGTCACCTTGCACAGAACTCCAAAAAGGTTAAAATCCTTGAGTTATAACATTGATTTCACAATAACAAACAAAATCACAAAACGTCAAACTTTACACATTGAGGAAAAACTCCGTGAACGCAACAACAGTATCACCGCGCCACTGTCCGCCGCTTGTTTTGTTACTTGACGGAATCTGAAATTCATTTGAAATGAAAGGTGGGGAGGCGCAAGCGCGTTACTACGGCTCTACGTTATCGCAAGTCGCGATGGTGCTATTGCCACATTCTGAATTATTGCGCTTCTTCAGATTTTTACCTGAGTTTTCGACAAGGTGTGCGTGGTTCCAGTCGCCACCCACCAAATTCACCCCTTATTCGAATTCGATCTACGCAGTAGCGCATCTACTAAAAAACTATTTGAGGGGTATGTCATTAAAATTCATCCATTTTATCATTATTTCCATTTACGTATATTCTTAATGTCTCACATTTTCTGAATCTTCCTATTCTTCAAATATAATTGAACATGTAAGCTTCTATACTGAAATCAAAAATTTCAATTCATACAGTATCAAGTGGGATTTAGATCTAAATTTCGGGGAGGAGGAGTAATTTCTGAATTTCTGGTAATTTTAGGGAAATAATTTATATATGAAAATATGTACGTGAATATATTACAATACTCATGTGAAATGTATTGAACTGCATCTGAACTGCAACACTTTTCTCGACGCGCATTTCATCAACCAAGTTGGCGTCTTTTGGAGATGAAGTTCGTTAATTCCCGACTCTAAAAATGGGCTCTATTTATATTTAACAAGGTTCACTTTCACTCTCAGATACCTACACATTAGTAATTTCAGGTTGGAAAAGGAAGAAAGAAAGATAATCAAATGATTGAAAGTGAAAGATGTGTTCTATTTAAAATCAGACGAAAGCAATAAGGCCTCATAGTAAGTCAGATTACTATGAGAGAATTGATAATTTACCTATAATGGTTTAAGAAGCAATAAACACACTCAAGAAGTGCAGAAGTGGATTGCACCGATGAAGAGGAGTCTACAGGTTTCTCTAGTGAAGAAACGTTAAAGCTTTTGATAGAAAACCACTTTCCTGGAAATCTGACTCTTGATAACAACAGACCTCCCATCTTTGAGGGCGCTAAACGCCCAAAAAAGAACGATTGAGACGTCGCAAAGAATGGGCTATCAAGTCGTTTCAGCCCTTCAAATCTCCTAGAGAGGATGATATATTTCCAGCTCTTCTTCAAAACGGACTGGAAATAATTTTACCTATTCTCATAAAATTGTATAAAGCTAGTCTGGCGTGGAACTATATACCACCCAGTTGGTTGGCAGCAGGGTGGTATATATACCTAAAGTGGTTCGAAAAGACCCACACCCTAAATCGGTATGACCCACCAGCCTTACATCCCTTCTGTTGAAAGAACTTGACATGATACTGGACGGACAAATAAGGTGGGTGGTATTGTATGCAGCCCCCCTGAATAACCACCAGTATGCATTTCAAACCGGCAAATCGACAGATTTAGCATTAAACAACATTTGAAGAGAAAATTTCCAAAACCCTTGCGGTTGCTGTATTTCTCGATATTGAAGGAGCAGCATTATGTCTGTCTAGGAAAGGCATAGAATCGGATCAATGCCATGCTGGTAAGCAGCATATGTCTGTCAACCCCAGCAAAACTGTGATAATCCCCTTCACCGGGAGGAGAAAATTAGACGATTCAACGCCACTTTCCCTCAATAGTGAGGTCATTCCATTTGGAATGGAGGTGCAATATCTTGGCATTATCCTTGATAAAATACTCACCTGGAACGCTCACTTGGAAACAGTTTTATACAAAGCCAGACTGTCCCTATGGACATGTCGAAGGATTTGTGGTAAAACAGGTCTCAAACAAATCCATTGGATTTATGTGATGATTGTCAGACCAATGATCACTTATGGAGCAATTGCTTGGTGTCCGAAGGCTTTACAGAAAAGGGTTCAGTCGAAGCTCGCTGGCTCCTCTCCACATTTTTCTAGAGAGAAAGGCTAGATGGACTGCATATAGACTTAAGCACATTGCTAATAGCACAAATCAATCTAATGCAGAATACAACAGACTGCTGGTTGACACAGGAAGTCACAACATTCTGGGAATGACCTCTGACTTTATGCCTCCAGCTGTCAACTACGAACTGCCTTATAAAGTACTGTTTCCGAGTAGAGAGGACTGAATCCTCTGAGAGAAGGAAATATTAAGAGCAGATAGTTGTTGGTTCACAGATAGATGAAAAATACTTTCTGGTTCTGATACAGGTGTTTTCAGTCGCAGACCTAGGACTGAGACATCAACCTGCCTAGCAACCTATGAAACTGTACAAGCACACAATTCAATGCTATTGAATGGTGTGCGGAGAGACTGGTAAAATCCAACCTCATACACTTGGCTTCCACAGAGCAACGTCTATATTGGTACCAAATTGCCAAAAACGACTCTCCTCTATAGAAAGACTTAACAAACCGTATCTGGTCTGGATTCTTGGCCACACTGGCCTGGAAGGCAATGAGGCTACTAACTCCCTTGCAAATGAGGGTGCTGCAAGCAGCTTCATCGGACCAGAACCTGTCATTTCAGGCTTTGCCAAACAAACATTAAACACCTGGATGGCAAGAAGTTTCATGGACTTCTGGGAGGATCTTCTAGAATTGGCTCACTCCAAGGCGTTTATGTTCGCGTCTCCAGTCAGGCGGATGGCTCCATACATGAAAACAATACTCCAAAGAAGGTCTGATCTGAGCTTTATAAAGCATTAAAAGTTGCTGAGGTGTGTACAGTTCACTGGTTCCTAACAGTGTTCCAAGCTTTTGAGAAGCAGCTTCTGCAATTCCAGCGACATGATAGTGCCTATTTTAACCCCCCAAGAAACTTACCTGCCATTGCTATATCCGATTCGGAGATATTTATCTTTTTGGAGAAAACCGAGGCCTATGGGTTTTTGTGTCATTAAATTGAACCTGGTTATTTTCAACCAAATTCTAAATTACTTCTAGATCCTCATTAAGGTATGCAACCTCCGAGATATCATTAATGCACAGAACGATGAGTATATAGGATCGAAAATACTACCCTGTGAAGTGGAATCTGTCGTGATTTTACAGGATTCAGAGGGAAAAATTCCAGATTCTAGCGAAACTTCAACTGTTTGCGTACGGTTCAACAAACATGAAATATGATTTCACCCTATCTATACTAGGGCCGCGAATACCTGAATCACAAAGTGTTTTCAGAAGTAGCTTGTGATTAATGGTATCGAAAGCCCCAGTCAGGCCAAATAGAATAACTACTGTTTTCACCTTCGTCAAAATTGAAAAGAATGTAATTGATTGGTGATAACGTGGCGTCTTGTGTTAATAAAAAACTTGAAAGCCATATAAAGAATTAGAAACTTTCAGTAAAATTTGAAAGAACTTAATTGATTAGTTATAACGTGGCGTCTTGTGTTGATAAACCCACTTCAAAACAACAATAGAAAACTATCTTAATTTTTTTACGAAATGATATGATCCTATTATGATAAGACTTTTGAAAGATTTTCAGAATGATTCAATAATTAGAAATTAGGTGTTCATCATGATTGTAATGATTTGGTATAGTTATTGTCTGCTTCAGAAAAGAAGGAAACATCTTTAGTAAAGGAAAGATAAAGTCGTATGTGACAGGTTTGATAATGCTTTCAGCGACGTCACTTGAAATACTGCCCTGCAATTCATCAACGCCACTGGAGTTCCTAGATGAATATCAATTAGCTCAATTTCATCTGATAGGTTGAAAAAAAATGTGTCAATTTTTCTGTCGTTATTATTCTTCCCAACGAGGATAGTTTTTCTGGCTTTAAAATATTTATTGCTAAAATATTGTTGTTTCGAGTGGTCGATTTCTTGCCTGCGATTTTCGAGGAGTTTTCTATATTGTTTGCTGGTAACTTCGTCAACTTAAGTTTTGCCTAAACTGGAAATATCTCTGAGTGATTCACCCTTACACATGATTTAATTTATACTAATTTCATTAGTCTTCATTAACCTGAAATAGGTAGTTTCATATATCTTATAAGAAAATCCTTTGTCGAATAACAATGAGAATTGAAAGGTGTATATTTTATAGGAGAGGTCAATTTTTCGGGAAAGAAATGTTTTGACTTTATACTTCTCCATCTTTATATAAAAAAATGAGGGAATATTCCAAAG